ATGAATTTTAGTTTACGAAATGTGCGAGCGTGGTATCTTTTATTAGATTACTGTAGGACTATAGCACGTTTATTAAGGCCACAAACGAGATATTTAATAACCCCACCCGAGTTATTTAACGGGACGCTCAAGTTATTCAACGAATAGAACTATTTCTATCTAAGTTCGCGATCTTTTTAGCTCAAAAAATCTTTATTTAGTAATTCATTTTACCAAAGAACTCATGCAAGTGGCTACTCCTCTTTCAGGCGTGGGGACCCTTGTCTGCGGCAAACTCTTGTGTCTGGTTCTTTAAATACTCTGGCTCTTTAAATATTCTGACGGTCTCCTCCCCTTGGTGAATATTTGGGATCAAAAGGAAAATGTTATAATAGTTTTGGTCCTTTTGATTACATGTTTCTCAGATGAAAAAAAGCTATTTTGGGTTCAATATATGCCATGAACGGACTGCTGGACCCTTTACTCACTTTTATGGTAACGACAGTCCTTCAACGAAATACCAGGACCCAGTTGTTCAAAGGGCAGATAACGCTATGCAACGGAGATATCCTTATTTAGTGCATAAGTGTTAACAAAACATACTCTGCCATCTAACGGATAGAGATTTATCCAGTGGATAGCGTTATCCACCTTTTCAACAACTGGAAGCAGAAATTCGATCTTTGGCCATTAACAGTTTAAAAGTTCACATCAATGGAAACAGAAGATTTAATTTTATTGTCTTTTTAACTGAAGCGAAAACAAGCCTTAAATCGCCATTACGTAAATAGTTTAAGGCTTTTGAGAGTAATACAAATGATTTTTCCCGCCACACTAAAGTATGAAGATTGCATTTGACTAATCATCAGCAGATATGGTAGACATTGACATTTTGGCGTTGGGCAAAACCGATTCTAACAGTAAAAATTAGAAAAAAACTAAAGCCAGCTTTTGAATCCAAAGGCTAACGGTGAGAAGTTAGTTCTCAAATTCTTCATAATAATTAGTATATACTAAAACATGGGATAACGTTGAAGGCACACTCTGATTGGCTGCACAAACTCCGAATATCCTTTGCTATTCACCTCCGAGCAATGTGCGCAGGAATTGCGCCTGAAAAAGTTATAGTTGTTGCAAGAATAAATGAGTCAAAATGATACTTTAGCGTGTATATTGTTTCACTATTTTAGTCAATAATTAATTAATTCTTTACCTCGATGTCGGTGGCTATCGATTGCTACCACCTCGCGGCTCGGTACAACTGTAGATATCCACCACTACCTACTTTTACTTCGGAGAATAGTTTTTATATTACTTGAAGGTCAGGCTTACCAAACTTTTTATTGGTAAGTTTCTTTTTACTTCATGTTGGATGCCAATCTCTATCGTAATTGAATACTTAGTGTACAAAGGCGTACACAGAAATATAACCAACGATGTTTAGAAAGATAATAATAGATTAGATTTTATTTGAAGAATAACTCTTAGTTTAATCAAGAGATTCCGTTTTAATTAACGGTTCGATACAGGGGAAAGACAACAAATTAAGGGCTGACCACAACTGCTCACTACCGGACGACTGTATTGAGCACTGTATGTTCATTCTACCGGGTATCACTGCAATTCTCCAGGAATTCTAATTGGTGTTATCTTCATTCAAAACTGCTTGATAAGGACGGAATTAAAATATTGTGATAGCATACCTAATATTTCTTAACTCAACGATATTGTATAGTATACCTCAACAGCAGTATCCCATCAAAAGGTGTATATCATTAATAATCATTATATTTACGATAATACGCTCGGAAATCCGCCACGTTCCCGAGGCCACAAACGTGATAACAATACTGTATACTGAAAGTTATAACTCAGCAGGTTGTCTCAATATCGTATCGAATTGAATCTTATCTTGTTCGTCATATTCCTGACTCATTCAAATTGTTTATTGAGTGACTCACTCTGCGAACCCCGGTGGCTTACCTCTTATATTATTCCTATAAGAAACACATTTTTTGGGTCTAGCAAATGTTAAAACAGTTTGCGTGAAAATTTTCAAATTTTTGGCTACAATATGAATGTGTTACATTTTCTGCTGCACAATAAGCTATTTTCGGGAACAATGAGCGACAATTAAGAGAAGTTGAGTCTTGACCATCATTGATGATGAATTCAAACATGGACTTCAATAAAACTAGACGCATATTTGCGTGCACTGAGGCTTTCTGTTGGAAATATATTTCCTTTGTGCCTGCATTTGCCTAAGTTTTAAATACAATTATTGGTTTATCCTGTAACTTTTTTCTGTCGTGGTTTACTAGAGATGCAAGTTTTTTCAGATATGTATACAGAGATGTATTACTTTTTTTGGGTTTGGAATTTACTAAATGCTGTTTTGCTGGTTAATGGGTTTGAGCGGGGTGAGTCATTTACCCGATAGGTTGTCTTCTTATGTTTTCTTTTTCTTGGTTAACAAAATATTCCAGGTTAAGATAGCTCTTGATCATATATTTGTGGTTTCATTCACACTATTTTGATAGACGATCCTATTTTGAATATTCTCAATTTATACTTCTCTCACTTCAAATATATCATTGTCGTGTATACTCTGAAAGAAATGTATTAAGCACTTCGAGAAGAACACATCTATATACACCATGGGGTTTGCATTTATGCTTCTCTCGATTAACATTGGATAGTTCAGTTGATATAGCATGTTTCTCGATGAAGGTTTATTTATAAATGTTCGCCCATAAGGAGATTTCTCATAAGTTTTGCGGGCCGACCCGTTCCGGAAACGCAAAACATTTTTTAATGCGAGTCGACAGCGAGTGATTTGCAACTGAACGAAAAAAAAAAAGCCGGAATTTCAACTCAGGAATTTCCCTAGGAAAGCCCGAGTAATAACAGAATACCAGAAATTTTGTCTCTGGTTCTGGGAAGTTAAAAGCGCAGACATGTGCAGTTCATTTTAACCTTCGTCATTTTTTTTTCTTTTTTCTTTTATCCTTTAAAATTATGATGAGATTA